CATGGTTTCTTTGGTCTTCGAGGTCTTTATTTATCGAATAACATAAAATACAAAAACCATTTATACTATTTTCTCTACATATGTTAAACAAAAATTTTTTTTATAATTTTTTCAATTCACAATATGTGGCAAAACTGGTATTTGTCATGTCATGTAAATAAAAATAACATGAGAGTGAATTGCATATAAAATTGTGGAACTTTAAATACAAATATCTCGTAGACTATAAGTCTAAGAAGGGTATACATATGTGTATACATATTTTAATCCAGAGATCTTCTTCTTTCAGATTATACCCTCCAATCGCGGCGCAAAAGAATCGTGATCGTGCCGATAATACATTCGAACTACGCTAATAAAGATCCAAGAATTTGGTTCAAAAATCAAAAAAGTTCCTTAGCGCACCTTCCAACATCAACTTCACATTTTCATGGATAATGCACACTGCTACTTGTTAAAACGCAGTGCTGGGTACGAAGTGAAACAAATTTTGAAAATAAGACAGATAACAATAATTTTATTGCAAAAGCTTTAGATTTTACCTGTCTGTTTCTGATTGGAAGCTGTTCTAATATTCTGAATAATTGCAGAATATTCCTGAATTATAATGTTCGCATTCGAAGTAGGAACAACATTAAAATCGTTTTCGAATTTCTTCTTTACATTCGATTACGAATGTTCCAATGTGAACCCCTGAATACTAGGTTGATTCGAAGAATGTTGACTTTTAGATTTTTCTGGTGTTTGCGATTTAATTAAAGAAGGATTATATTTTATGACTTCTTTGCGATATTTTGTTCACAGTAAAGAACTCTCATCATTGGAAACGGACGAAATCACTGCCTGATTTATAATCTAAAAAAACKCCTTTCATTGTTATGTCTTATTCTTAGAAGAAATTTCATTTCATTTCATGTACATTCATGATTCCACTTCAGGTGTCAAACAAGTGTCTACCCCACCCTACCAGTGCTTGACCCTAGAGACATCTATTGGAAAAGAGAAAAAAATAAAAGAAATTTTAAATTTTTTTGTTTGATCGGAATTTGAATTGTGCGCCAAAAATCAATGGAGCAACTTTGACCACTAAAAGGTTGACGGATATTCTTCTTCTGATCTATATATGATGTTCAGACCTAAACACGCAATAGGAAACTCAATCACTGTTTTTAATTAACTATTGAATAAAGCCTTTTATTTTTTTGTAAATAACCCACTTATTTCTCACTTTATGTGATGCTAATGAAAAAGAAAAAAATTTTCCATACGTCTTTTTATCACATTCTCAAAATGTATTATTTCCCTGTCCATGATTGTATATATTCATAGCATGAGTTCATTTGAGTTAGCCTTGTCGGGTTTGAGATATTAAACTGAAATTTTGTACTTGCCCGGTTTTCCCCCAGAAGTCGCCCATTTGTTGGAACCCTCGTATCGCACTATAGCATACATACTGAACGATGGGAATCAATGGCTTGTATGGAGACCATTTGACGAGATAACTTCAAGTGCTTGTATCGAAAGCTTTTTCATTTGATGAGATATATATCACGAAATTCGGCATGAATTATTATCTTAAGCATCTTCGAAAAATGGTTCATAGCTACCACACAACCTGGCCGATAAAAATCAAGTTCTTGTAGGCAGTTTTTGCATTTGTGAAGGGTGTTATAGTTTCAGTGCAACGAGAGTAAACGGTTTTTTTTTTTTGTTTTTATAATCTTATTACAATATGAATATACACTGAGCAAAGGAAGTATTCTATTTTTTTGTTTAATCTTAACATTAAGTAATATAATTTATTTAGTTCGTAACTTGACATTTTTTATAGTAATACAAACAACAAATCTGGCCAAAAAAGTACAAAAACTTAATTACACGTAAAAAAACAGTTGATTCCATAGATGCTCTACGATGTTTGATACTGGATATTCAGCAGGAGTTTTAATTACTCCATGACAATTGTATAAAAACTAAAGTTTTTTATATAGTGCGGAATTTTTAGGGTCATTATCTTGGTAAAAAAAAGAAATCACTTCGATTTCGAAATTTTCTGCACCAATTCGTAAGTTTTTCTTCAAAATGTTTACATATATCAGGTGGTCCATGATTTGGCGAATTGGAAATACATCTCCAAATCCTAACGCCTCTGCCTTTGCACTGGTTTCCTGTACCGAATTTCACATTATTTTTATGTTATATGCAAAACCTTATCTTTCCTTTATTCTAGACATTTATGGTATTTTGAGCGCAACTCTCCCCCTGTAGCTGTTGATTTTCAAATAATTGAGGATAGTTTGGGGTGTCACATCTATACTTCTATTTTGGTTTTCTTCAAGACTTTTGGAGAGAACTGTAGCAATTACTTGTGTTATTTTTTGACCCGACAAAGTAACCACTTTAGGTTCCTTTCATTTGCTTTAAAAAAGGCATTAGGGCGACCACACCTTGGATGATTTTCACCGTCTTGTAATCTTTTCAATTTTTGACAATATAAAAAAGTTGCACGCGGCCATCAACTAATTCTGTTATTTAAAAAACAACAATGTTAAGCAAATATCCTTACATATATCCTCATAGGTACTCACTCTTTTGCGTAATTGTTGAATATTGTCCGCATTGCCAACACAATTAATTTTTAAGCGAATAAATGAAATAAGCTAACTGCGTTTTATTTGTCCATGATTTAGCTATTAGCGTGCGATGGTCAAATAAAGCACGGCTAATGTATGCATATTTTCAGACGGAATGTGTTGCTTAAGGCCTGAGACACCAGTGCATATATTATTGAAATGCGTGCGCAACTAGGACTCATACAAAGCAAAAAAATTGTGAAAACTATAAACCTCTCAAGCGTCCTTGATTTTATAAGAGCTAATAGGCTAAAAGAAGTAATATGAAATGAGTTAAGAGAACACAGTAGACCAATGGTCGCCGTGCTTATCCTCACACAATTATTTGTTTATTAATCCGATTTATTTGGCGCCGCGTTCTGAAGGTACCGTTGGGAAAAGGATTACAAAATATATGTGTACCGCAAACGCTTAGTTTATGAGATATTCGACTTTAAAATTCAAAAATTCCCAAAATTCGAACATTTCAACAAAATATTTCACTACATTTAACACCCTTTATGTACATTTTTCACTTCAAATCCTTGTGTAGAACTTCACGCAAGTAAGGAAAGTTCTCTGATAGCCACTCACGATATGGCCAGAAACGATTATTTTACATATGACTCAAGCAGGTCACGACTTCCGATCGTTGGCCAAGTATCTCTGAGTAGATCATCCGTTTGAAGGGGAGCAAAAGTAAGAAGGCGAAACATCCCCTCCGCAGGGTTGTGCACTGTGTTTGGGACCCGCCACGTAAAAAATCATACCAATTAAAAGTCACTCATAATTCCCGACCTGCTATATGGTGCCAAGGATCTGCACGATGACAGCAACTAATGAATCGACGATGCGAGTTTTCGAGAGAAAAATTTTGCCAAAGATTTATGGTCCTTTGCGAGTTGGCCGCGGTGAATATCGCATTCGATGGAACGATGAGCTGTATGAGAYATACGACATTGACATAGTTCAGGGAATTAAGAGACAGCGGCTACGCTGGCTAGGTCTTGTTGTCCGAATGGACGAAAATACTCCAGCTCTGAAAATATTCGTCGCAGTACCCGCCGGGGGAAGCAGGGGAAGACCTCCACTGCGTTGCAAAGACCAGGTGCAAAAGAACTTGGTTTCGCTCGCAATATCAAATTGACACACATACTTACTGGGGCTAACGTCTTATTAATCCGAAAGTACGACAGTTGTACTACACTATTATGAACAAGTATAATAAGCTGGATATAATATCTCCTGGTAAGCCGACATATTGGCCCAGTGGTAAAAAAAAAAAATACCAGACTTAATAGATTTTGCTGCAGTCAGAAATATAGATGGATCGTTTATGACAGCTGATACATGTACAGACTTATCATCTGATCATTCTCCTGTACTAATAAAGTTGTACGAGCAGCTCATGATATGTGAGCCAAAAGTTTATCAAACATCTCATAAGAGAAACTTGTTGAAGGATAGAAAATATATCACCAGCCACATCAATATTTATTGCAAAGTAAATACAGGAAGAGACATTGATGAAAGTCTAAGATAATTTATTTATTTATTTAGTTAAGTCTACGCAGAGCCAAAAACTTCACCTATAATCAATAAAATTGACTTCTAAAACAGCTCTTCTTGCGAGGAGAGCCTGGGGGGGGGGGGGGTAAATTGAAGAAAATTTGACTAGAAAGTCTTCTTAATTTTAGCTTAAATTTCTTCTAAAATCTCTTGAAAAGGAAACCGGCTGAAAATAAAAGATTACTTCTTATTTATTAATTTGTTTTTTTTTAATTTTGTCAAAAAATTCAATTGTAGGAAGAAATCTACTTGTTTTTATGAGAAAACTATTAAAGCGCAAATTAATAAGGACATCCACTTATTTTTACCAGAAACTTATTAAAATGATTAAAAAGAAAAACCTTTTATTTTTAAAAGAGTTCTTATTAATTTAAAATTTGCTATTAACGTCTCAAAATGCCTATGATATTCTTTTTATCCCGTTGCATGTCACAATTCAGTTGCTCTTGTGCTGTATTGCTTGCTAGTTGTGTTGTGAAAAATCATGATATTATATTCAAAATGTGTGATATTTATGGTGAACCAAGCCAAGGAAACGATGAATTCTTGGAATTATTAAAGTCTTGGGGCTTGCTAAATCAAATAATTGATACCCTGATTGAACGGGGGGTTAATTCCTTTCTCATTCTTGAGAAAATATAAATTGGCGACGTTGACGCTTTTTTCGATAGATGTGAAACAAAATATTTCGGTGAGCGCATAAAATTTAAAGCCGGTTTTAGGGAGTGGCGAACAAAAAAGGTAAGATGATTCTTTTATTTTTAAATTATCAATTTAGTTCATAGAGCGGTATGCACAACACAAGTTTTTAAGGGTATTTCATTTATTCGTGACCAGGAGATACAAACTGCAAACACCGAAGTCTTAGATTGGCTGAAAAAAATATCCAGTGATTTGTCTTCCGTCAAATAGGGAGAATGTAGTATGGTACCTTGTTCGCCTCAAACGAAGAATTTCAATCTACACGATCTACTTGGATAGTAGAAACCAAAAAAATGTAACACATTGCATCGTTGACAACTATATTGGTTTAGGACGCAAAATGCAATACTCAGATATGAGGGAATGGGAGAATGAAATTGTTGTGGTATTTACTAAAGAAAAGAAGGTAATTGCACGAATTCGATTACAACTGCTAAAAACTTACAAAAACTTTTTGTTACTCTTATATATTAGGAATTTTATTTTTGGAAAGAAAAATGGGAAAAAAGAATCCGAGTGATAAATTGTTCTCGCGTTGGGCTAATATCATAAAGTTGGAAAACAAAGCCAATTATGTTACCCAGGAAGCTCATGAAGATGTTTTTGACGGTGTGCAATACTTTTTACTCCTACTTTATAAAATAAATGGTTGTTTTAACAATATTTAATTTAACTTCTTGCACTGTAGATAACGTATTGGAAAAAAGTGTTGGTTGGCACATAACTGCACACCTTGGGAAAAAGTTAAAAAGTTTTGGGTAGATACATGCACATTTAGAAATAAATGTAAGGGATCTCTATCGGATTTGCTAGCAGACAGGCCGCGCTACAATGATTTTAACGGTTACGAATTGGTAAGAAAAAAACACAAATTATTTATTTTCAAATTAAACATTATTCAATTATAAGAGGTTGATATTGATTTTAATACCATGCATCCAGATATTGGAAACGAGCTGTTCTTAAAACTTGACAAGTTTTATAAAGTAATCTTTCCTATCTTAAATGCGGAAGTAAAGACCAAGCCAGCCGAGAGTTACTACTTTCGAAACTCCTTTACAAAGATTTATCAAATGGTAAGAAAACATGAAAACTATAGAATATTAAAATATTCATATATTGAATTAATTTATAATTTCAGATTCTAAATATTGCATTGTGTTGTTATTGCTCCATGCGGTTCTTCAACCACAGCGTCAGGGTAAAACCCACAAACCAACGATTGGTGACGCTCAATCAGAGTTTATAACACTAGCAACTACACCAAATGATACATTACCAAAGATTTCATCCAAAATTGAGCAATACGCGGTTAAAAAACAGCAATTGCAGCCTCGCATCATTGCAGTAGGTGAGGACTATACAAGTATATCAGAATTCTTTATATTTTGCGACGGGCTTAAGGGGAAGTGTCCCACTTTAATGAATTGTGTCGACTGTATTATTAAGTTAAGTTATGTATTTCAAATGGAATATTCCCATAATAGGAAGCAAGTTTGGGTATTTTTAGAACAATACTTTTTTGGGCTTAAGTCTGAAGATTTTCCTTCAGTTTCAAATTTACTCAGCAAGTTAGATAACTAATTTTTTATTTTCTTTGTTTTCTTTTTAATTGTTAAAAATGTCTAAATTTGCTTGCTATCATGGGCTTCAGTCCATAGCAAAATATGTTTGCAAGGAGGAAAATTGCAATCAAATATTTCACAAAGTGTATAGGTTCCGAAAACACTTAGAAAAGCATAAAACTGTGAGTTTTTCCTCGGTAAATAATGATTTAGGTCAATCTTTAGTTTCACAAGAGCCACTTACACAATTACAGTATCGTGATGAGTACCCACTTCCATGTCTTGCAAACTTCAAGCATTCCGTCCTTGAATTTACTCTTGAACTGCACAATCATCCACATTTTTCGAKAAAAGACGTTCTTAGTATTCAAAAATCTATAAAAGAACATATTATGGCTCCAATAATAGAAATGGTTCACCCGTTGATTCAAGATTTTGAAAATAAAGTTCTATCTGATGAAATAATGAGAAATTTATCTGAACCATTTAAGAATTTGGATTCTGAGCATAAGTTTCTTAAAGAATTGGAAAACTTGAAGCATTTTAAAGATCCGCAAAAATATGTAATAAGCAATGAATTGTCTGGAATTATTTTAAATAATAATCCGACTTTAACTAGCGCTAAAGCAGAAATAGTATTGAATGACGTACCTTTTGAAATAAAAAAATTTTTTGAAAGTGAAGGGGTATGGGGTATGGGTTATTATTGCCAATGTTGAAATTTGCTTCCTATTATAATTTTATAAATGGAGATCTTTGGAAAACTGCGAAATTCGATGAAGGCAAGTTGACAATACCACTTTTCTTGTACATGGACGATTTTGAGATCAATGATCCCCTGGGCTCTAAATCCTGCCAACAGAAGATATGTGGAATTTTTTACACTTTCCCAACAATCCCTAATTATCAATCTGGTAGGCTCATGAATAGTATTTGTATCCGGATTTATGAAAAGTTCAGATATTTGTGAGTATGGTTTTAATATTGCCTTCACTCCACTTATAGATATTTTAAAGAAATTATATGTTGATGGTTTGAGTATTGACATAGGTGGTCAACATTTCCAAGTTTACATTCGGCTTGCTCAAATATTAGGTGATAACCTTGGTCTAATCACAGTTTTAGGATACAATAATTCATTTTCATTAAATCAAATTCTTTTTGTAGAGTATGCAAACGCAACAAAAACGAAACACGCATTGATTGTATCGAATATTCCAATTCTTTAAGAAACAATACTAATTATGAACTTGATACTGCATTAAATGACCCAGCTGTAAATGGTATATTACATTACTTTATATACGAAAAATAATGTTCACTTTGGAAACTTTTAATTCCCGGAAGCAAATATTCCAATATGGACAAACAGAAATCGGTAATGTTTCTCCTCCTGTAAAAAAAAAAAATCATATAAAAAACGCTAATTTTAAAATAAACGCGAAGCAAATGCGAACTTTCTCCCACTTAGTATTACTTATGATTGGCGACCTTATCCCACCGAATGATTCTTTTTTCAAATTTTTAGTTCTTTTCATTAAACTAATTGACTATGTGTTACTGCCAAATTTCGAAAACGATCTCTTAATTAAACTTCAAGTGTTGATTGAAGAGGACAACAGGTTATAACAATGCTTGTTTAAGGATACTTTAAAGCCCAAACACCACAACCTTGTTCACTACCACACTATTATTAACAGACTAGGCCCCCTTAAATACCTATGGTCATTTAGATTTGAAGCTGAACACCAAATTCATAAAAAATATRCCAGAAGTATAACGTCCAGAATAAAGGGAATCAAATCAGCTATAAGATTTGCGAATTCAATTATAACTAATAACAAGCCGAAATTGTTTGTAAATAACAATGTCCTATTACAAAAGAAACTTACATTTCATCATTCAATTTATCCGATTTGAATTCGTATAAAAGAACAGATTCCGTTATTTT